TTTTTAAAAAAGTATTGTTGTTGTTGTGGTTGCACCTGTTTGTGCTCCCTGGACATATTGGCTGGGTGGTGTAGGCGGCTGGCTGCTCCGTCTGTACACGTCACAGCTGTGTCACATGGGACGCTGCTCCGTCTGTACACGTTAGAGCTGTGTCACATGGGACGCTGCTCCGTCTGTACTCGTCACAGCTGTGTCACATGGGACGCTGCTCCATCTGTACACGTTAGAGATGTGTCACATGGGACGCTGCTCCGTCTGTACACGTCACAGCTGTGTCACATGGGACGCTGCTCCGTCTGTACATGTTAGAGATGTGTCACATGGGACGCTGCTCCGTCTGTACACGTCAGAGATGTGTCGTGTGGGACGCTGCTCCGTCTGTACACGTCAGAGATGTGTCGTGTGGGACGCTGCTCCGTCTGTACACGTCAGAGATGTGTCACGTGGGACGCTGCTCCGTCTGTACACGTCAAAGATGTGTCACGTGGGACGCTACTTAATCTGTACACGTCAGAACTGTGTCGTGTGGGACGCTGTGTCTTATCACAATACCACAGGGGGGTGGCTGGACAACATAGCTTTCTCAGGCAGGGATTGAACCCAGACCCTTAGCACATAACTTTAAGGGGGCTCTCGTGGCCTAGAGGTTAAGGTGTTCGCCTCTCATTCAAAGGTTCCTAGTTCAAATCCGGGTAATGACGGAAAAAAATGTTCTTCTCTAAAATTGTCTCCTTTCACATCCTTTCCCACTCTCTATCAATGTTCTGTCGTCTGCTTTCGCCGCCACTTTCTGCCCCCACCCCCTCACCTCCTTTGCCCCCTCCTCTGGGCTCCTGACTCTTTCTGCGGCTTTTCTACTGCTACTCCTTGGCTCCTTCTTACTGCTGTCTTTCAGCCACACCCCTGATCTTCTGGTAGGAAAGATCTACACCTAGCCTTCTCGGACAAGGGCGACAACCTCGGAAGTCCCGTGTGCAAGTTGCCTTTGTGGTCTTTGCCTTTGTGGTCTAAAATCCATTCTATAAGAGTAAGAGTAGGCTTCGCCACCAACCGGGCAAAATTCAAAATTTCCTACCGACTGAAATTGTCAAATGTGTCCCGCGCGCATATATATATATATTTTTTTTTTTTTTAATATATATATACATACATGTACATGGTATAGATATAATAATATAGGAGCTGCTGTTGGGAGCGGCGTCCAGAGTGCTCCACCGTCTGTGTCAGGGGCGGCTCATGGTGGCAACAGCTGACCACGGTCACTCCGTCACATTGACACCCCCCCCACCCCCCATACACGCACAAATGTATACATACACACACACACGCACACCTGGATTCATATGCCCAAACACCCAAATATGTAAACCTGGATACATAAACCCCCCCCCACAAATAAACAAAAACTCTCTCTCTCTCTCTCTCTCAAAAACAAACAAACACACTCCATTTTTTTCCCCCCACATCTGCCGTGGTCCCCCACACATGAAAACTGGTGGTTTATTTCCTTCCAGAAAGGGCTCGATTTTCCTTGAGGGAAAAAAATTGGAGACTTTCGGACTTTTTGGTTCTGGTTTGGTCCTCATAAAACTACCAGATAGATAGATAGATTGGAAGATAGTTTTATAGATAGCAGAAAGAAAGAGTAAGGCAACAAAGATACTATCTTTGCATTAGGTGAATGGGTCGGTCCCAAACTGGGGGGAAACTCTGGGTTCTGACGACGCGGGACATGTTACTAGAATACAACAAACAAAAAAAGAAATATATATAGGCCTATAGATTTTATTAAATTATCTAAGATAGGTGTAGTCTTTGGTAGATGTTATTATTATAAATATTACTATTATAAGTAGCCTATAAATAAGATAGCCTAGATGGCAAGCGTTTGTCAACAGTTTTTGCAGCTGTGACGTAGATCTAAGTCTTCCTCCAAGTTCCCGATTATTTTGTCACAAATTCCAAGCTACAATAAACGAGGTGAACACAGGCGTGTGGGGAGACCTGATCAGCTCGGGGATTTGCCAGACAGACAACTGGTCCCGGAAAACTGAAAATAAATCATAAGCCTACTTGTATTTATTTATTATAGCCCACTACCCTAGAATTGCCAATAAATTGTCGATCTGACGTTATTGGCCGTTTTGAGTTACTACAAGAAGACCGTGAGGTCAGAAACCTTCTATCCCCTCTATCTGAATCGTAAGATTATTCGGTACTGTTATCAAGTCATTCAAAATGCTTTCGAAAAAGCTTGATGTGAAACTCAGAATCTTTGACGTCAAATTTCTCAAAACTACGTACCGAGCAGACCACCATCAAATAGTGCCACATCTACAGCAGACATCGGCGATCATGGCCACATCTACAGCAGACATCGGCGATCATGGCCACATCTACAGCAGACATCGGCGATCATGGCCACATCTACAGCAG